AGTCATTCAACTCTTGGATTCGCGAAGCACGGAATTTACCAATCACCAGAATAGTTGACAGCATTAGAGGTCAGATTATGCGACAAATGGCGAAGCGGAGGGTGTCGGCCCACACATGGACAGGCGCAATTTGTCCCACAATGGAATTCCGCTTGGAAGAAGCTTACAACAAAAGTCGGTCATGGAAAGTGAGTCAGGCGAATAACGACGTGTACGAGGTCCATTCATTCCCATCTGTTATGATGGACATTGCCACCCGTACATGTTCGTGTTTTCAGTGGAAAATAAATGAGTTGCCATGTGCGCATGATATTGTCTCAGTGCGAAAAAGCAGGAAAAACCTTGATGACATAGTCGTACCTTGGTACCATGTGTCCGAATACCGTCTGACGTATGCACCCACCATCTACCCAATACCAACAGTTGAAAAACCACCATTCAACCCCACTGACTACGTCATTTACCCACCAAACGTCAAATGTCCACCCAGGAGGCCGAAGAAGAAGAGAATACCGTCTAAAGGTGAGAATGTGCAACAAATACGGTGTGGAAGGTGTGGTCGTATGGGGAACCACAACAGGAAGACCTGCAAAGAACCTATTTAGACGTAATCCCAATACGTCGATATTAGCGTAAGTGTGTACAGCGAACAACATAATATGCAACCCAACCCGGTGTCCGGAATAATCATTAATGACCAAGGAGAAAGTGATGATGAGGTTGATTTGTTGCCTGATTTCTGCCCGCACAAGAATAAAGTATTACTGACTGAATCATGGACGCGAGGGTTAACCCACGTCGGGCAATGCTTTGAGGGAGGTGCACACGAATTTCGTATGGTTTTGTGCAAGTATGCCGTGGAGTTTGGGTTCAATTTCAGGTATGTTAAGAACGATTCCGTATGGGTAACAGCAGTGTGCTCCATGGTGGAGGATAAGGGATGCACGTGGTCTGTACATGCTCGGGTGTTGAAAGTGAATCAATTTTTCTACCTTCGCAAATGGAACAGTGTGCATAGTTGCGGTGTATCCGTCCGGACATCAAATCATCCAAGGGTTGGATCTGATATGGTTGCTGATATTATGGCAGCTCGTGTTCGGGACAGACCACTCACACGTTCAACTGATGTCGTCTTAGATTTGAAAGATGATTATGGGTTGGACGTCAACTACCGTATTGCATGGTTAGGGGTTGAGAAGGCAAGGGGGGAATTGTTTGGCGCCCATTCCGTATCATTCGACCAATTGCGTTGGTATCGTGAAGCCATCATGCAATACAATCCTGGGAGTTATGTTGACATTGATTACGATGAACACAACTACCGGTTCCGCTATTTTTTTATTTCGTTCAAAGCATGCATTGATGGGTTTCGTCATTGTCGTCCATTACTTTTCCTGGACGGAACCTTCTTGAAAAGCAGGTTCAAAGGGTTTTTGCTAGCTGCCACCGCGAAGGACGGTAATCAAGGTGTGCCCTATTTCATTTTGAAAACATTGTATTTTTATGGTTTGATATATTGCACATGCTAATCATGTTGTCATCATTTATAATAAGGTTGTTCCCACTTGCTTATGCCATTTTGGACTATGAAAACAACACGAATTGGGGTTGGTTCTTACAACATCTTGCCAACGTGGTACCCAGTGATAGGACACTCACGTTTGTGTCTGACCAAAACGTGGGACTTGTGGAAGCAATGCCTACATTTTTCCCTACATCTCACCACGCATTCTGCCTCCAACATTTACAGAGAAATCTACGGGACAAACTACGTTATGTGAACAACATGCATTGGATTGGGGTTGTCAGCAAATTCCGTAAGTGTGCATACGCACCCACCATAACAATATTTAATCAAAAGGCCAACGACTTTCAAAAATCTGGAAAAGCCATTGCCACAAAATTCCTTGCGGATGCACATCCACAACACTGGGCGAACGCATTTTTCAGGTATGGATATTTCCGTTACGCGACGCAAATGTGAACATACCCAACAACAAACGAGCATGTTTCATTCTTTACAATT